TCATGCTCGCATCTTCCAGGATCAAGCACCTGACCACCTCCCACGTGTCCTGCGGCGCTCTCAGCTTGCCACCCGCGGGTATGTCCTTGTTCCTGAAGGACTGCGCTCCTATGACCCCCGCCTGGTGGCAACTGACGGCCTTGTGAGCGTCCGTGGAGATGTTCGCGGCCTGGGACCACTTCGCGCAGACTATCAGCGTGGACGAGTTCGCTGTGCCCGGTTCCACAGGGAACAGCGCGTCCATGGCTGGCAGCACAATCTCCTGCACCATGGCGGTCTTACCGCTGCCACCCTGGCCCAGCAGCAGCAGCTGGAACGTCTTCCGCTTCGCGCGCTTGGCCATGCTGCCGCCCTCGATCTACTGCTCCTCGCCCCACACCACATTGCAGCCGTTCGCGAACGCCGTGACGAGCAAGGCCTGGTCGGGCTTCAAAGGCGGCGCTCCCGCTCCCCCGTCCTCGGGTTGACCCCGCCGTCCTCGAACTTTTTGACGAGGAGCTTGACGAAGTCGCTGGGCCGCTGCAACTCCTCCGACGGCTCCCACCGCGCCTGCGCCGCCTTGGCCAGCACCGCGCCAGCACCCGCTGCCCCGACGTCATTTCGCGCGGGGGCGTAGTCGATGTGCACGTCGGAGCCGGCCGCGGGAAATGCCGAAGTGGGTGTGGGCGACGAATGCGGACTGCTCCAGTGAGGCTTTCGGTGGAGCCACGAAGCGTGTAAGGGGTGTGCCGAAATGGGCTGCCTCCTTATGGGGGCACGAAACGGGCTGCGCCCTATGTGGCCACCAAGCGTGTGAGGGGTGTGCCGAAATAGTGTGCGTGACGCATGCGGGCTGCGCCACTGGGGCCTTTGGCGGAGCTCCGTATGGGGCCACGACACGTGTGAGGGGCGTGCCGACATTTTTGTGCGTGCCGCACGCGGGCGGGGTTCACTGGAACCTTCGGTGGAAGTCCATATGGGGCCACGAAACGTGTGACGGGTGTGCCGACATGGGTGTGCGTGACGCATGCGGGCGGTGACATTAAGGCCTTCGATGGAGCTCCTTATGGGGCCACGATGCGTGTGAGGGGTGTGCCGACATGGGTGTGCGTGACGCATGTGGGCGGTGGCACTGGAACTTTCGGTGGAGCTCCCTATGGGGCCACGATGCGTGTGAGGGGTGTGCCGAAATGGGTGTGCGTGACACATGCGGGCTGCACCATTGGGGCCTTCGGTGGAGATCCCTATACGGCCAAGATGCGTGTAAAGGGCAGCTGATGACGATGATGGTGTCGATGATGATGATGATGCTGATGATGATGATGATGCTGATGATGATGATGATGATGCCGATGCTGATGATGCTGATGCTGATGATGCTGATGATGCTGATGACGCTGCTGATCATGATGACGATGATGACGATGATGATGACGATGACGACATGCGGAAGGCAGAGGCTTGGAGGAGGAGGAGGAGGGAGGATGGGGAGGAGGAGGAGAGGAAAGAACACGGGACGCTGTCTCTTCAAAGCGAGGACCCAACACCACCCAAACGGGGCGCTCCCAGAGAAGCAGGTCCATTGTCCATTGCGATAGGAGCGACCCTGCCGCGGACGCCCTGTGGGGCCACGAAACGCTGTACTGGGTTGGGGAGACGCATGCGAACACCGCCACTGCGGCCTTAGGTGGAGTTCCCTAAGGAGCCAGCGAAACGCTGTGGTGGGTCGGACCGACGCATACGAACGCCGCCACTTGGGCCTTAGGTGGATCTCCGCAGGGAGCCAGGAAACGCTGTACAGGGTGGGGGAGACGCATGCGAACACCGCCACTGGAGTCTTGGGTGGGGCTCCCTATGGGGCAACGAAACGACGTAGTGGGGGAGACGCATGCGAACACCGCCACTAGGGCCTTAGGTGGGGCTCCCTATGAGGCCAGCGAGACGCTGTGCTGGGCGGGGAAGACGCATGCGAACACCGCCACTAAGGCCTTCGATGGGGCTCCCTGTGGGGCCACGAAACATGTAAGGGGTGTGGCAGAATTGGTGGCGATGATGGTGACGACAACGGTGGTGTTCATGACGTCAATGATACTGCTGCTGCTGCTGCTGATGATGATGATGCTGATGCTGATGCTGATGCTGATGCTGATGATGATGATGATGATGATGATGATGATGATGATGATGATCATGATGATGATGATGATGATGATGATGATGATGATGATGATGATGATGATGATGATGGCATGGCGACGACGAAGCTGATGCTGATGATGATGACGACGAGGACATGCGCAGGGCAGAAGCAGGGGTGGGAGGAGGGATGAGGGGAGGAAGGAAGGACGGAAGGAAGGAACGCGGGGCGCTGTCTCTTCAAAACGAGGACCCAACACCACGCTGTACTGGGTGGGGGAGACGCATGCGAACACCGCCACTGGGGCCTTAGCTGGAACCCCCTACGAGGCCACGAAGCGCTGTGCTGGGTGGGGGAGACGCATGCGAACACCGCCACTGGGGTCTTAGGTGGGGCTCCCTATGGGGCCACGAAACGCCGTACTGGGCGGGGGAGACGTATGCGAACACCGCCACTAGGGCCTTAGGTGGCACTCCATATGGTGCCGCGAAACCCTGTGCTGGATGGGGGAGACGTATGCGAACACCGCCACTAAGACTTTCGATGGGGCTCCCTGTGGGGCCACGAAACATGTAAGGGGTGTGGCGGAATTGGTGGCGATGATGGTGACGACAACGGTGGTGTTCATGACGTCAATGATAATGCTGCTGCTGATGATGATGATGATGATGCTGCTGATGATGATGATGCTGATGCTGATGATGATGTTGATGCTGATGATGATGCTGGTCATGATGATGATGATGATGATGATGATGATGATGCTGATGCTGATGATGATGACGATGACGATGACGATGACGATGATGATGATAATGATAATGATACTGATGATGATGATGATGATGATGATGATGATGATGATGATGATGATGATGATGATGATGATGATGGCATGGCGACGACGATGCTGATGCTGATGAGGATGACGACGAGGACATGCGCAGGGCAGAGGCAGGGGTGGGAAGAGGGAGGAGGGGGAGGAAGGAAGGACGGAAGGAAGGAACGCGGGGCGCTGTCTCTTCAAAACGAGGACCCAACACCACGCTGTACTCGGTGGGGGAGACGCATGCGAACACCGCCACTGGGGCCTTAGCTGGAATCCCCTATGAGGCTACGAAGCGCTGTGCTGGGTGGGGGAGACGCATGCGAACACCGCCACTGGGGCCCTAGGAGGGGCTCCCTATGGGGCCACGAAACGCCGTACTGGGCGGGGGAGACGCATGCGAACACCGCCACTAGGGCCTTAAATGGCACTCCATATGGTGCCGCGAAACCCTGTGCTGGGCGGGGGAGACGCATGCGAACACCGCCATTGAGGCCTTCGATGGGGCTCCCTGTGGGGCCACGAAACGTGTAAGGGGTGTGGCGAAATTGGTGGCGATGATGGTGACGATAAGGGTGGTGATCATGACGTCGATGATGATGACGAGGACATGGCGATGATGATGATGCTGATGCTGATGCTGATGCTGATGATGATGACGACGACGACGAGGACATGCGCAGGGCAGAGGCAGGGGAGGAGGCAGGAGGGAGGAGGGGGAGGAGGAAGGAAGGAAGGAAGGAACGCGGGGCACTGTCTCTTCAAAACGAAGACCCAACACCACAGGATGGTTGGGAATAAAACGATTTGCTGACGGGTGTGACCAGTCAGTAAGCGCACATCAAAAACAACAGATCTGGGCTACACCCGAAATGAGGAGGCGGATGGGGAGCGCAGGGACTCGGGGCTGAGTGGGATCAGGTCAGGGAGATTGGTTTGGAAGGAAATCGGGACCTGGCGAACTGCATCGTGCGGCCTAACGGGTTATAGACGCACCCAGCCTACCCTTACGCAACCTGCTTACAAACTACTCGTCAATAGTGTTAAGTAACGCTACCTAAGGTCGAATGAAATACTCACCGATACTGTTATGTAAATTTACCCCGCACGGTTAACTACGGAAACTAGTTAAAACGTATCGCAAGTAGACTTGCACCGCACGAGCAATACTTAAGCAAACTTATCAACACGTAGGACATCTGCAACAATTACACCTCGCTATAACTATCTTACACCCAACCGTCCCTGGGCTGCGAGTCGCACAAGAAACCTAGTCCTCACAGCAGCCGACTCCAACCCCGGCCCCATCTGCTCGGACTGCACTTGGGAGGCTTGGGGACGGGCGCCCCCCGATGGCCGAACAGCGCAGCCAGGCCACCCACCTTCGCGCGCTTCGCCCCTTCGCGCGCCGTCGCGCCCCGCGCTCCTCTCCACCTTGGAGGCGCTCTGTGGCAGCTCGTTGGAACCTCCAATGCCATCTTGTTGGCTCTTGCGAACCAGCGCTGACCGACGCTGATAGACGCTAAACGGACGCTAGTCAACAATACTCAATGCTAAATCGGCGCTATCTCGTCGAACACCAGGCCCTGGCCGGCGCTAATGCACTGTAAAGGCGGAACTGCAAGGGTACACGGGGCTCCCATGATTTGCTACCGAAGATATGGGCAGCCGCCCTGGCCCAGGCCGCGACGCGCGAAGCGCGATCATGTTCGCACCTCTGCGGGTGACCTAAGAGACCAACCGCTCTCTCGTGTTCCGGTGGTTCTCGGGCCATAACTGTGGCCTCCAGCGCCCGCTCGAAACGTTCTGGACACCCATAGAACGCTCTCGGCGAGGCGCAACTGCTGGAGAGCATCCCGAGGCCGGAAAACCGCGGAAAACCAACGAAGCCGCCCGAAAAGCCTCGAACCTCATGCCGCTCTTCGCCCGCCAACGGACGAGTGGCATCGAACTGCGTGCGTTTGGAGGCGCTGCCGGGCCGCGCCCCCGCGGGCGGGCGGCTCGGGCGATCTGCGGCGGCGCGCAGCCGGCTGAGCTCTGCGGGGCGCGGGCCCCGTGTCACACCGTCTTGCAGGGCGCGGGCCCTGGCGCTGGCTCCGACGAGCTGGACCCCGTCGCGGCGCCGAGGGCGGAGGAGAGCGCGCCCTCGAACGACTCGAGGGCGAGGGAGATCTGCTCCGCGGCGTCCTCGACGAAGCTCGTCGTGCTGCTCTCGGCGGCGGTGATCACGGGGCTCGCCTTGCGGCTGCACCCAGGAGCGACCCCAGGCAGGAGTGACCTTGGGTGCGCGGCCCTCAGGACTGGCTTGCGCGGCAGGGGGCGCGCAAGCCAGCCCTGAGGGGGCCCCTGTGTTCGGGGCCCCAGAACCGTGTGGTGACGGGCCGCATGGTGACCTCGGAACCCCCAGCGACTTTACCGCGCGGTCCGTCACCGCAAGGTTTTGGGAACTCGGAGGCCTCCGTGGCTCGAGACGTCCTCGGAGAACCATCCGAGCCCCAGAAACGCGTGGTGACCCCGAATCCCCACTGGACGTCCTCGGAGAACCAGCCGATCCCCACTGACCCACCACGCGGTGTGATCACCGCACGCTTTGAGGGCCCCCGAAACCTGCGGCGCCTGAAGGCTTCGGGTTGTAACTCGGGCCTCCGGCGGCCGTTCGGGACGATCTGGGCACCCCAGGAACGCTCTCGGCGAGGCGCAGCTGCTGGAACGCATCCCGAGGCAGGAAAGCCGCCAAGAAGCGACGAAAACGTCTGACCGCACCGTCCAGGAACCCCGACGCCGCCGTGGGCCCGCACCAAAAAAGATCACTCCGACTCCGACAGAAAAGCCGCTCCCGCGTGCGCGGCCGAGAGGACCTTGCGGCTCTCCGCGAGCTCCTCCTGCAGGCCGACCGCGGAGAGGAGGGTGACGAGGTCCAGCATCTCCCTATGTATCGGCGGCGCGCCCGGGGCGGGGAAGCGAAGGGAGGTGCGGATGCCTTCGCGCCCTCTCGCCGCGCCCCCCGTGGAGGTCGTTGGAGGCCTCCCAGGTGGGCCTTCCAGACGGGGTTGGAGGATCTCGCTGTATCTATCGCCGATGTATCGCCGATGTATCGACGACGTCGGCGACGCATCGGCGCCGTCGGCATGGAGAAAATCGGAATCCACATCCAGCCGCATCGTCGATGCATCGGCGACGCGACGTCACGTGCTCGACGAACTCCGAACCCTAACCCCGCCGCCCATCGAGTTGCCTGAATGGTCGATCGGCAATGGTAGAGGAACAACAACAGCATAAATATGAACTTTCAGAGGTCCACGAGGATTTCTTGGATCAGCGCTAGGCCGCCCTCCCTGGCGCGCGGAGCGCGTCAGCGGCGGCGCCGGAGGTGCCGCCAGGGGGCACCAGCGCAAATCCGATAAACGCGCGGAGCTCCGAAAGTTTATGCTTGCTCTGTCTTCTGTTCCTCAAGAGGCATTGATCGACGAGGGCAAGGCTCGGATTTCGTCGCCGACGGGGGTGCGCGGGGGCGGACCTTGCCGTAGAGCGGCAAGGCTTCGGCATGGAAGCCCCCTGGCCCTATCTGAGAAGCCGCCTCTGCCGTCTCAGGCGGCTCAGACAGCCTCTCAGACGGCCGCAGGCCTTCTGAGCGACGGCCGCAGGCCTTCTGAGCCTTCCCAGAAGGCCCTATGAGAAGCCGCCTTTGTCGTCGGTGGAGCCGTCTTTGGTGAAGGAGGCTTCTGCAGGAGTCCCCCGGGAGGCTTCTGCAGGAGTCCCCCGACCCTCTGAGAGGCCGCCTTTGTCGTCGGGGGAGCCGTCTTTGTCGTCGGAGGCTTCTGCAAGAGCCCCCCCAGCCCTCTGAGCAGCCTCTGGTTGTCGTCGGAGGAGGCCCAGAAGGCTAGAGGCCTTCTGAGCCTTCTCGAATGTCGGGGCTTGCAACCCGCACCCTGGGGGGGCAGGCGAGAACATTGACAGAGTTCTCCACTGCGCTCCGAGGAGGCTCGACGAGGGCAACGTGTTGCCCCCAAAGCCCCACCGACGCAGATCGCACACCACACCTCAGCGTAACCTTACCATTTGTAGTCGCCGAAGAAGGCCCACCCCTCTGCCTTCCCCCCCGGGCGCGCCGCCGATTTGTACACCAGAAGGCTGACTCTGCCAGATCCCTTGGAAAGGCAGAAGGCTTGATCGGCGCACTGGGCCACGATCGCTTGAGCCCGAATGAATTACGGACGGGGCCGATGAGAAACTCCTGGAGGCCATCTGCTGGAAGCATCCCTACTGGAAGAGAGCACAAGAACCCTGGAGGTCCAGGCATCCCAGCAGCTCTCTGGGCGTAGGTGGTCCAGCGAGCTTACTCTTCCACACCCTTCTCCTTCAAGGAGGGATTTAACACTGCTGCTCACCAGCAAACACCCCATCCCCGACTGGATCAGCGACCCACTAAGAACAAGTCCCTGGCCCACCCACACCACCCCATTCCATTCCGAAAAACACTACAACATATGTTTCGTGCGCCCCGCGATCACACGGCGACGTTAGGGCCTTCCTCGTCCTCCCTGCCCCCTCCTCCTACTCCTTTCCTGCCTCCTCCTCATCCTCCTCCTCCCGGACCCAGGGGCCCCATCCTGTCAAAATACCATACAAAATCAATGGTTCTCGTCTCCGCATGGACATCATGTTGTCCATGTTGCCAAGAGCGTGGCGGGAATGGGGCGGGGCGCACATCCCGCGCGAAAAACCGAACTGTCGCTCTCGCCTCGGCGCCGCGCTCGTTTATCCAGAGACTTGAACTCCCGCACAGGCGTGGCGCACAAATTTCGCACGCAACTTCGTCGACGCGCGAAATCACATGACCGACTCAAACGTAGGACCCATGGGGGTCCATCCGGAAGGAAAGAACTTCAGGGTCGCGCAAAAGAACCCAGGGGGCTAGGTTCCCGCGGAAGAAACAAAGAAATATTTGGCGAGGGGTTCGAGCACGGGGGCATACCCCCGCCTCAAATTTCGGAAGAGGAATGAACTCTCAGCCGCGGGGGTGCTCGCGCGCGGGGTTCCACCCCCTCCGGCGCAACCAGAGGAAACGCGCGAAAGCCCAGATTGCAAACGTCACGCGTTAAAAACTTTAAGGTGGTTGTACTAAAGTTGTGCTAGCACTTGCGCTGGAATAGCGTGCTCTACTGTGGTACGACTTGATAGCCCACCTGCAGCTGATTCAACCCACTGATGTTGCACTTCAGAACCAGGCCAGGTCAGGTGAACCGTGCCTAGACGGCACATTGGTTGCAGATCGCATGCATGAGTATGTACAACAACACGCCGGCGTCGACAATGCGAGGGGCGAGGCGTAACCATCGTCGCCGGCTCTAGCTCCATGCGCAAGGATTCTCTAAAAATCTACGTTTCTATGCCCGACCCGCCCGAGACCTCACCCGGGAGAGCAGCGGCAGCAGGAGGCAGAGGAGGGAACGACGACGCAGGACGGCGGAGGAGGGGACGGCGACACCACCTGGAGGGCAGGCGGGCGGGGGAAACCGGGGTACAATTCAGAGTAATATATCCCCTAAAACTTGTGATACAAATTATACAAAATGACGGCCGGCCGGTTTAATTCGAACAGTACCTCAACACTGCTTCTTTCCATGTTCGTTGATTGAAAGTGCTCTGCCCGATCGTGTCGGACGGCCTCTTCCTGGCTCAAGGCCCCGCCGTGCATGCACGTTGCTATTCTCACCGTGTGCGCGTTCATTACAGAAGCCCACTGTAACCTGGGACGTCCTCTGCGGCGTCTCCCAAGGTCGAGGAGACGAGAAGTCCCGCTCTGGAAGACACTCTGGCGAGGCAGCGATTCGTTGGGCAGGGCGGACAGTCCAGAACCAGGCGCCCTCTAATATTACATAATATTACGTGCACTCGAATATTACATACGTGCTTATATTCGCTAGTGCCTGCTGCACTCGAGTACTCCTAGCTGAACTCTAATCAGACAAATTCAAGGGCTCGAGTGGCAAGGCACGCGCGGAATACCGAGCGAAATCCACGCGCCACCAGGGGTCCAAACTTTAAACGGGTCGCCGCGACGAGGGGGCCCCCGCGGAATGAAGAAAAGAACTCCCGCCGGGCAGGGGTACCCGCACCTTTCCCTCCCCTGAGCGTCCGCGCGCCGCGTGCCCCGTCCTCGCCGCGCCCATCCGCAACGTTGCCGCTCCCGCCCCCGAGCGCCCCGGCCAGCTGTCTCTCCACCAGACCGCCGAGAGCGGGGCCGCGCGCGGAGCGCCCTCCGATCCCAGCCTCAAGCCGTGTCGCAGTTGTCTTCTCTTGCGGGGCGACGACGACGACGAGGGCGGGGACCTCTGACTCGCTCGACCTGCCTGCCCCGAAAGTCGAGCCGGCCCGACCTCTTCGGGGATTGTTCGAACCAGGATCTCGAGGCGGATCCAGCGGTGGCGATGAGGGCCCCCAAGGGAAAAGCAAAAAGCATGAAGCCTGAGATCCGACTTTGCGAACCAATTGCAACATCGCGAGAGATCATGACCAGAGCCCTAGACCCCACATTTCTGCTGCATTGTTCTGGCCAGAACGATCTGTGATGATCTGTGATGGTCGCTGGGCCCGAAACCGAGCGAAAACGCCCAATGTGAGAAACAAAATGCAACGCCTGGATCTCAGTGTCCTCCGCCTACCCCTCCACAGTCGACCCCCCCAGGCCTTAGGCCTCCACCTCGCGTCCAGCACCCCGTAGGCCTCGTCCTCCCCACAGCCAGGCTTCGGCCCCACGTTGAGGGGCCAGTAGGCCCAGTCCACGTCCTGCAGGCTCGCAAAGAGAGGAGGGGGAGGAGGTAGAGGATGGGGGAGGGAAACGGAGGACAGGGAGGAGAGGGAGGAGAGGGAGGAGAGGGAGGAGGAGGAGGAGGAGGAGGAGGAGGAGGAGGAGGAAGAGGAGGAGGAGGAGGAGGAGGCGGAGGAGGAGGAGGAGAAGGAGGAGGAGGAAAGAGGGAGGGAGGAGGGAAAATGGAAGGGAGGAGGAGTCTCGCTGGTATTCCGCGTACGCCTCGTGTGAGGTCGTCGGCCGCTGGCGACTGCCACGGGCTCGGTGCGCCCGCCACAGAACTCTGTGCTGCCTGCCACGGGCTTGGTGCGCCTTCTGCGGTAGCTCATGGGAGCCTCCCATGGCCATCTTGCTGGCTCTTCCGATTCGAGGCTAAGCGACGCTAAATCGGCGCGTTCTCATGGACTATCAGGCGCTAGCGCACGCTAATACACTCTAAAGGCGGAATTGCGAGTGTATACTACACTCCCATGATTTGCTACTGGATGCGCCTATCACGGCGACCGCATTGGCTGCCACAGATTGGTGCCCTGGGGGGTCGCGCACGGGGCGCAGCAAGCTGGAACCGGAGCGCGCGGCGGCGCGCGATCACGGCTGGCCCAAGCGTGCGATAGCGGATGAGCCAGCACATTCAAAGCATGCGACAGCGGATGGGCCGGCACGCCCAAGCAGAAGCAAGTATTTGTTGACAAACTTTAAAGAGACTATTTTTACTCGTTCAGCGAAGGCCGGGTTATCTGGTGGGTGTGAGGGGGGGGGGTCTGGCCGATGACCTAACCTCTTCTCTGGTGGCAACCCAACGCCATTACCGCGCGAACCAATACCGCCCCCCCCTTTCGGAACTTTGCATCCGACAAGATCCGGAATATCCAGGCGGGGAGGGGGCGGGGGCGGGCCTGACAACCCAGCTTCGGGAGCCCGCGAGGCAGGTCTTCGCGCGCCCCCTCCGCCTCCCTCCCTCGCAGAGCGATACAGACCAAGCGAAGCTACTCCTGGAGCGGTGGCTGAGCGTCACACCTGCCAGCACGCGGTTGCCCATCTGGTGCTTCCTGGCCACGGGGAGTTAAGAGAGAGCGGGACAGCGTCATTTTCGATGAGAGGAAGAAACCACGGCAAAAACATGAGCTTTCGACGGTCCGACCGGATTCCCTGGACCTGCGCCAAGCCCCCTCCCTGGCGCGTGGAGCGCGCCAGAGTCCCAGCGCAGATCCGGGAAACCCGCGCGGACTACCCAAAGCTTAATGTTTGTGCCAGCGATAGAAGAACTTCGGCATACAATGGCTGGGGAAACCTCGGTGGGTCGTGGCCGCGGCGGGGCCTCTCCGAAGCCCTCCGGCCTTCTGAGAAGCTGTCTATCGTCGGAGAAGGTATACATGGAAAGCTTCTCGGAGAGCCCGAGTCCCTCCGAACCTTTCGAGAAGGCCTGCCCCCCCTCTCGGACGCCTGGTGGTTTTTCTGTCACACCTCGGATCTCCTGCGGCCGTCTGGGGCGATCCAGGCACCCCCGAAACGCTCTCGGCGAGGCGCAGGTGCTGGAGCGCATCCCGAGGCTGGAAAACCGCCGAGAACCGACGACAAGGCCCCAAACAGCCCCAACCGCCCGAAACTCCCCCCACGCGTACACGCCGCCGAATCGGGGCCGTGACACGCCTCGGTCAAAAGAAGGCCCCGCACGGGTGCCGTGCGCTCCGAATCGACGAGAACCTCGTGCGCAAAAGCGAGGAAACGGCTGAGCGACGGGCGCGCGTACGCAAAGAAGAAGGGGAGGAGGAGGAGGAGGAGGAGGAGGAGGAGGAGGAGGAGGAGGAGGAGGAGGAGCAGGAGGAGCAGGAGGAGCAGGAGGACAGGAGGAGGGAGGAGGAGGAGGAGGAGGAGGAGGAGGAGGAGGAGGAGGAGGAGGAGGAGGAGGAGGAGGAGGAGGGGGGGCGCACGTCCATCGGCGGCCGATGATGTCCCCTCAGTGGCGTGTAAGCGCTGCGTGCCTGATTGACAGTTGGAAGGCGCATGACTTGAATTGGTGAGGCGCCTCTGTGAGAGCAACGCGCAATTCATGGAAGATAGAGTAGGCCAGTGCGGCTAACTCATAAGCTACATTGACATTCAAATCTGTATATTGATATTCTTGCGGGCCCCAGTCCGAGCCACAGAAACGGGGGCCCGTGGGAATAAACCAGCGAGGGAAAGCCATCACATGCAAAAGCAGCGGGCAGGTTAGATAAGGGTGGAACGAGACTGAGCTGTTCACACATCCAAACCTGCAGGGAAGGGGGAGAGAGTCTTGACACCATGGCTGGTGACCCAGCCGCCTGCTAAAGTCTTGAGATGGGCACAAGCTTGAACTGGCCTTGATTTGGCCAGTGTCTCCCGAAGAGCAAGCCAGCGGGCACGAAAGGGGTCACGGTCAGGGAGGTGGTAGTCAGGCAAGCACCTCCTCACCCGAGTCCTGATGCGCACGTGAAAACAAGCTCGGTAAGCCCGCCCTACGAGCGCAGCAATTAAAGTGGCCTGATGGCGTTTCTTCCGACAACGACGACGACGACGACGACTGCTAGGACGACCATCTTCCCTCATTCGGCCACCCGCTCTGGCTGTGACAATCGCAGAGAGGATGTCATCTGGGGAAAAGGAAAGATTGCGGGCAGCGGAGAAGAGGCGAAAGAATTGGAGGATGCATTGAGAATTCTTCCAGCATTCCGCCGACAGCAGCTGCTGGCGCACTCTCATGTTATATCTGTGCACATCCGCCCCGTCCCACCACCAGTCGTACCACCCATCCCATCCTCTGAGAGTGATCTCGCTGGCCCTCCAAGCGTTAGCACATTTATACATCTTGACTGCGGTGGGTGTCGTTGCTTTCCACCAACTTCGCAAGCCCAAGTCATGCAGAGCAAAGGTGCTAAGTGTGAGACGGAGAAATTTGCGCAACGCGTAATATTGTTTTCGCTTGATCTCACCGCACAAAGAAAACACCCGGCCAAATATCCGAAGACCGAAATACACGTGCATTCATACAACCGTATGGCAGCTTCGCATGGTGCTCTCGTTTGAACGATGGCACGGGTGCGAGACCAACCATTTTGTCCCGCTTCTCTCCATTGCTGCGCCAGAAGAATGTTGGGTGCTATATCTGGCTGAGCCTGCTAGTGCGAATCCTGTCCAGCTCGGCACGCATTCGGATTTGTTTCTGGTATAGCTGGCTGCATTCTCGGGTGTGGATTCAAGGGCAAGCGGGACAGCAACACATTTGGCGACCTGCATCGCGAGACCCGCCAGACGTTGCGCAAGCAAAATCGTCGCATGAAGACGTTGTATCAACACGAGGTTCGTGAACACAAAAACCTATGTCATCCGCGCATGCTCCTAAGGTGGCTTCCTCTCTGCTGCGAAAGGGGAAGAGGAGGAGGAGGAGGAGGAGGAGGAGGAGGGAAGTAGGAGGAGAAGGAGGAGGAGGAGGAGGAGGAGGATAGTAGGAGGAGGAGGAAGAGGAGGAGGAGGAGGAGGAGGAGGAGGAGGAGGAGGAGGAGGAGGAGGAGGGAAGTAGGAGGAGGAAAAGGAGGAGGAAAAGGAGGAGGAAAAGGAGGCGGCGCCTGGGATGCTTCATCGGGGCCGGGGCTGGCCTCGGTCGGCAGGGCCCCGCAGGGGTGCCGCGCGCTCCAAGCCGACGAGGCCCCCTGGAGGCGGCCGAGCGACGGATGCGCGCGCGTCCGCGCGTCCGTGCGCGGCCGCCCTAAAGCGCCAAGAATTGGAAGAAGGCAAAACATAATAATAATACATAAATAAAAAAATAAATAAATACATAAATAAATAAATAAATAGCACTAATAACAACAATAATAATAACACTACGAATGATATTAACAATACTAAGAAGAGCAATAAGACTGCTAATAGTACTGCTACTCATAATGATGCTAATAGTACTAAAAAGAATGATCATGACACGACGACGGATAAAGAAGAAGAGGAGCAAAACTGACAAAACACATGATAATAATAATGACCTGAATGACCACAATACTGCGACTACTAATAATGATCTTTGTGCTGAGAAGAATGGCCATGGTAGTAAGACGGAAAAGAAGATGGACACTAATAATTCGAGTGCTAAAAACAATGATAACAGTAAGACGAATACTACTAAGAACAATAATGCTAATCAACGTGAAAGGCGAGGAGGAGGAGCAAGAAGTGGAGGGGGAGGAGGGAGAGGAGGAGGAGGGAGCGAGGGAGAAGGAGGGAGAGGAATGAGAGGAAGAGGAGGAGGACGAGAAGGAGGAGGAGAAGGAGAAGAGAAAGAAGAAGAAGAAGAAGAAGAAGAAGAAGAGAAAGTGAGAAGGCGGGGGTGCTCCCAACGGCGCGGTTGGGTTGGACACGCCCCCCGTACTTACTCCGTGCGGCCGGCGCAAAGACGCCCCATCCGTCCTTCCGCGACGCGAACGACTGGACAGCTGAAACAACAAACAAAAAGTACGCTACAATAGAGCTACGGGCGGGTTCGCATCGTGCCGACCTCGGCGTCGGTTCCTGACACCGCGGGGATCGTTCAACCTTGAACGATAGGCAATTTCCGGAACGTCAGATCGTTCAACATCGACCGATTCTGGATCGCTGGCGGCGTTCAACATCTAACGCCCGCGGCCGAGTCGCCGCTGGTCGACGCAACGCGAACCTACTGTAGATTCGTTGCTCTGATCGCCCACTGTCGGGCACACGCTGACATGGATTAGGGGTCCGTGGATCTGGAGAGTGGGCGCCAGTGTCGCCTTGTCTGGCGACACAGCGCGCCAACTTCGTATTGAAACGGGGCCCGTCGCCAATCCACGCGGCCGAATCCATGTTTGTGGTTCCTTGTGTTTGCAAGCCGACAGTCGCTGCTCATCTGAGGGAGAACGTCAGGGGTGGACCAGCATAGGGGGGGGGAGGAGGGGGGGGGAACATCGACCTGGAATTGAGGATACATCGCCGATAGTCGGCGATAAGCCCCCCATAACAAATCCACATGGCCCTGAGCTGGGTGGGCTATGAGGCCGCTATCGGCGATGAGTGGGCAATTGGGGGTCGATGCATCCTCCCTGAGCCTATCCCCCCGCCGCCTGGATTTCGGGCCATAACTCAGCTCTCTGGCGGCCGTTCGGGACGATCTGGGCAATCCTGGAACGCTCTCGGCGAGGCGCAGCCGCTGGGACACGTTCCGATGCTGGCAGACCACCGAAATGACGAGAAGCCCGAAAATATCGAACCTCGAACCCCCCTTCTGAGCGTACCTTACCACACCCCTGAGCCTATCCCCCCCTAACAGTGCCCCTGCTCGTCGCCTCCATCCTCCCCCCTCTCCCTCTTGGGTGCTGCTGATTGGAGGGATGATAGAAAAGTAAGGAAACGTGCACCTTTTGGGCCCCTTTTGGGCCCCAGGGGCTCCTTTAGGGCACAGAAGGACACCCACATGAGGCGAAAGGCTCCGGGGGGGGGGGAAGCATCGACCTTACCATGGCCAAGCTTAGCCTCTGGGGGCCCTCACCCAGCCCCGGGGCCGTCCAAAAAACAATTCAGGATGAAGAACGGGTTCTCGGGGGAGCCCAGTTGGAAGAGCCTCAGGGGACGGGGAGATGATTTCGTCCCCCCGTCCCCTTGTCCATCGTAGCACCATGTTTCATCAATTCCGGCACGCGCAGTGCACGAGCACAACCGTGACACCGGCGCGGCCCCGCCGAACAACGGACCGATCGGCCCGCTGGCCAGTCGACCCCTCGACCGGCGCTGACCAGCGCTGGCCGCAGCAAACCGACGCTGGACGACCTGCGAGGTTTTCGAGTTTTCGGACACATTCCGTCTCGAACATCGGCCCGAAAACATCGAACATCGGCCCCCCCGCTTATGAGCCTATCCTGCTCGTCGCCTCTATCCTCCCCCCTTCCCCTTCCGAGAGCAGCGCTGCTCGGTGGCCGCCAAGAGGACGAGGATAAAGGGGCCCAAGGGGGGACACAACTTTCCACAACTTCAAATATGTTTCACTACTTCTAGGATGCTCCTCTTTCCCTCTTCTACTATGTTCCACCAGCATATTGTATAATCATGAAAAGCAGAGTTCATTTGTGTGTTGCGTCATAGGTTTTCTGAATTTTCGAACGCTCTCTTCGGTTCCAGAACTTCTTCAGCCGCGGGATGCCTTCCAACGGCTGCGGCTCGCCAAAGCGTTCGCGGGCACCTGGATCGTCCAGAACGGCCGCCAGAGACGCAAGTTATGACCGGACAACCAAGCTCGGCAGCGCGCCCAGGGGAAGGCAGAAGGGGCGGGCCTTCTCAGAAGGCTCAGGAGGCCTCTGGCCTTCTGGGAGGCTCTCTCAGCCTTCTTCTCCGAAGGTACGGGGCATTTCCCAAAAGCCAGACGGCTTCCGAGAAGCGGCGCCGCCTTCTGAAAAGGCCTGCCCCTCTCACTATCTGCGAGGGCTTCGGGGGTCGAGAATTTTTACTTTGCCCGTGCAACTCGCGAGCCAGAGCCCCACCTGCAGACATCCCAGCTCACATGGTCACCACGAAACGCCGCATGGGGAAGTTGCTCGCGCGCGTCTTCTCCTTCGCTGTCTTGGCGATCTTCTGCTCCGTCTTGAGCGCGCGCCTCAGCGCACGGGTCTTCTTGGGTCGCAGGTCCAGGGGGACATACTTCTTGCCCTTGCACTCCTTGCGAGCCTCCGCCTTCTGCTTCTGGTTGTAGACGGTCAGGATGCGCGCGATCGACTTCCGGACTATCTTGATCTTGGCCAGCTTGGACGCGGCTCCACCTGCCACCTTCGCGACACGCAGCTGGGACAGCTCGCTCTTCATCTCGTCGAGGTCCTTCAGGAGCTCCTTAGAGGTCTTGGAGCGCAACTCGTAGGCCTTGACGCGCGCCATCTCTGCTGCTGAGTGGGTGGGGGGGGCACGGGGTAGTCCTCGGTGGCGAGCTTTCTCGGGGCGGCGCTGAGGACTTCAGCCCTTGAGCCAAAATGGCGTGAGCCAAGATGGCTACAGGAGTGTTATGGGAGATAGTTGGGGGCTCCAGGGTGGAGGAAACATGACGGCATATGACACATTCATATCCTCAGGGGCTCGTGATGGCGAGTCGGTAGCCGAGTACCCACACCCGACAACGACTGCGAACACTTGCAAATAGTACAGCTGCGCAGCCCCTGGGGATCCAAAACGAACTCCAGTGGAGCTCCCCGAGCTTCTTCTCAGCGCTGGAGGGACGCGATGTGCATGCGTAGACGGCTCGCGCAAGAAGGCCATGTGAACCATGCGCGGGATGGTTGTGCACGCCCCGAACGTCTGAACTACACCGTCTCGGCACGCTCCTGACCAGTCTGACCCTTGGTCAACCAAAACTCGGAGGCTCAGCCGATACATCCACTGATGAGGGACGCGCTTGGACTATTACTGTAGTTGTTTCTCCTCCGACTTTCTCTCTCCCTCTCTCTCTACCTCTCGGTTGCGACATTCAAGTCTTGCTCCACTACATTGGGTGGCATCTTAAGATCTACTCAATCAACCGCACCCCCTGCTCCACGTCCTTCTCAGCCAGCAGGCTGGTGAAGTCCCGAAGCCAGCCCACCTCCTCTGGATTGGAGAGGTCCGCACCGAACTCGCTGACCCAGACCTGGGCGGGCGAGGCGCGCGAGCCATCTGTGCTATCGCCCGATGCAAGCGCACCAATGTAAGTACACAGAAGGCCAGAAAGGGCTCACAGGTGCCCGCCGACCCCCCGTTTACCTGAGGTGCGTGAGAGATGTTCGGCCGTCACATGTCTGAAGAACGAAAGCAAAATTGGAAAGTAAGATCGGGATAGATCGCGAGTCTCTGGCATTCCAACGGCTCCAAGAAATGTTTCGGGCGCCGCGGCCTTCACAGAGCGTTCTGGAACGCTCCGAATCGATTTACACCGACTCTGGATCCAATTTGCCTTTCACCCCCACGCCATGGGGGTATCGGCCGCGGCAAGATCTGCCAGCATCGACTTGGGCAATTGGACCGGATCGGGGCTCGCGGCGGATCGGGGCGCGGCGGCACGGAGCCGAAATCGAATTGGACCGACTGCGCCAGGGTGCAGAATTTTGCGCGATGTTATGAAGGGGCCCCGGGACACACAAATAAATAAACACAAATAAAAATATTCCCCATATTTTCCTATATTTTCTGGGTTTCTGTCTTCCCCCCCACTTCCCATATTTTCCCATATTTTCCTGAGGGTCGACGATTAATTGTGTCTGTGTGTTTTTTCCCCTCCTGATGTTACCCATAACTTATGTCAACCGATTCCACCTTAAAGGGAGATTCACTGGTGCCCAAAATATTCCGTGCCATGTGGTGAATACAAACTCCAGAAATTCGCGCCGTACTCTTTGCATTCAGCAGCATTCGCTGTATTGTTGTTGTTTCTGTCTTCAATACCGAGGATTGTGCCGAATGCAAACTCCAAGAATTGTCGCCGCGGACTTTGCATTCAGCAGCATTCGTTGTATTGTTGTTGTTTCTACCCTCAATACCGAGGATTGTGCTGAATGCAAACTCCGAAAATTGTCGCCGCGGCCTTTGCATTCAGCAGCATTCGCTGTATTGTTGCTGTTTCTACCCTCAATACCGAGGGTTGTGCTGAATTCAAACTCCGAAAATCGTCGCCGCGGCCTTTGCATTCAGCAACATTCGCTGTATTGTTGTTGTTTTACCGTCAAGGGTTGTGCTGAATGCAAACTCCGAAAATCGTGGCCGCGGTCATTGCATTCAGCAGCATTCGCTGTATTGTTGTTGTTTTTGCCTTCGATACCGAGGGTTGTGCTGAATGCAAACTCCGAGAATTGTCGCCACGGCCTTTGCATTCAGCAGCATTCGCTGCATTGTTGTTGCTTTCCCCTCAATACTGAGGTTTGTGCTGAATGCAAACTCCGAAAATCGTCGCCGCGGCCTTTGCATTCAGCAGCATTCGCTGTATTGTTGTTTTTTACCCTCGATACCGAGGTTTGTACTGAACGCGAACTCCGAGAATTGCCGCCGCGGTCTTTGCATTCAGGTTCGCCGCGCTGATTGGCTGCGATTTGGCGATGTGTGTCGTCAGTACCGCCGGCTGTGTTGAGTGCAAACTCAGAAAATTATCGCCGTGGCCTTCGATTCGACTTGCTGCCTGCTCTTGTGCTTGTGCTTTGGCTCCCTCACTGATGCAGGTGGTTGTGCTCACGGGTAGCTCCCAACGCTGTTGCTCTTGCCGCCCTGCTGAATGGCTGCGCATTTGTTTTGCCCTGCCGCATTCTGCTGCCGCGTACCGCGTGTCTTTCATTCAGACGGAATCGCATCATGCTAGCGCAAGAAAAAGAGTTGAAGAGAGCACGGAAATACAAACGTTGCAGTGGAGTTTTTATTCATCGATGATGAATATAGATGCAGAGCAAAAGACTCATCAGGAATTCGGAAGAATTCGGAATACGGTAGGAGGAAGATGAGGAGGAGGAAGAAGACGACGAAAACGGCTGGCCGATTTCGTATCAGTGAGTTAGAGGAGGATAGGACGACAGGTGGAAAAATGAAGGCGAAGAGGAAGAGGATTGATCCCGGGATCGAGGGTCTAGAACACAAATGTCATTTTCTGTTTTTTCGCGTGTTTGTCGTGTTGGCCCCGTTCTGGTTCGAGCGCCCAGGAGTTTCAGGCCACTGTTAGACCGTTAGAGATTTTGGAATGGATTGCGAACGCATGCCGAAGCTCGCACCCCTCCTCCCTCCTCCCAACTCCTCCCAGCCGCCGTCCCGGCCCGAGGCTTTTGGGTGCAGGTATACAGGATGCCTGCGGAGCCTCGCGGGACTCGGCGGCCATACGCGCTCGCCCGCGCCCTCGCTGGTGGCGTGCGGGCCGGCCGTGCTGCTGCGCTGCGGCGTGCGACGCCCCCAGAGTGGGCGGGCGCACGACGGCGCGGGCGCCCGCTTCGCGCAGGGCGCGGCGCCGGCTGCGAGTGCGCGAGCCCGCCTGGCACAGGCGCGCTCGCGAGCGGCGCACGCAGTCGCGCACCTTGCTGCGAGTCGCCGCTGCCGCGGCGAGGCTGCGCGCGCACCACAGCAACGGGCTGATGTCAGGCCGTGCTGGAGGCGGGGGCAAAGGCGGCCAGGGCCGCAAGGGCAGCGGCAAGGGCAGTTCGGGCGGCGGCCACAGCGGGCAGAGTGGCAGCACTCCCCCGTGGGCCGTGCCGCCGCCGCCGCCTGGATGGTGGTGCCCGTCGTGCGGAGGATTCAATGGCCCTGCTGACGCCCTGTGCCGCTCCTGCTTCCCTCTTCCCGAGCATGGACCAATGCATGGAGACGGAGGAGGGACAGCTCGCCCGCGCGCGGGCCCGCGCGGAGACGGCCGCCAGCCTCGTTCTGCCTCGAGGCGTCGCCGCCGCGGCGGCAAGGGCGAGGCACGTCAGCCGGAGGCGGAGCCGAGGCCGCGGTCAGCCTCGCGAGTCCGCTTCGAGGACGAGGGCACTGAGGACGGCGGAGGCGATGCGCGGCCGAGGTCGGCCTCGAGCCGCCGCCGGCGCTCCGCCGACGGCGATGGCCGACGGAGGCGGTCTGCTGGAGGCGAATCTGATGCATCAGATGGCGACGAGGACGGCCGCAGCCCCGCGCTCGGCATCCTCCCCGCGCTGCCGTCGGACGCGCGAGCTCACCCAGCCTGGGTCGAGCCGCCGTCGGATGAGCGCGGGCTCACGGCCCACAGGCGCTCACTGCGCCAGATGGCGGCCGCCACGGGCAAGAGGCTGCAGGCAGCCATCGAGCTCGGCATGAGCCTGGAGCAGAGGCGGCCGCAGGAGGAGGAGTACGCCGTGCAGCTCAGCATGATCATCCTGGCCCGCCCAGCTGGCGTACGACGCGACCGCCGGCGCAGCTTCGTCCAGCGGGCACAGGCCAAGCTGGAGAAGGCCGAGGCCGCAGCTGCGCGGGCGCGTGAGGAGCTCGCGGAGTTGGAGGCCAAGGTGGGTCAGCGCGCCGAGGCCCTCGGCCGCGCCAAGACGCTCCTGGAGCAGCTCGAGGCCATGGTCCCCGCGGGCGACGAGCCGATGGAGGAGCCCATCACGCCGACGCCCGTGGCGGGCGCTGAGGGCGATGCAGCCCCAGCCACGCCGCCCGACCGCGCGCCGCCCATCGCGGCCATCGCCGAGCTGCAGGCTGGCCAGGCGGCCCTCACCCAGCAGCTCGTCGGCCTCACGCAGCTGCTGACGACGATGCAGGGCCAGATGGCGGCGGCGCGCGGTGGGGCGGCGCATGGCGACGCGCCTGCGCCCGAGGTGCGGCCCTTTGCAGGGCCCCCCCAGCGCCTGGGGCCAGTGGCCCCCGCGCCCAGGCCCGAGGCTCCTGCCGCGGCCTACCCCGTGCCGGCCGACGCACCTGTGGCCCGAGGCCCCCAGGGGGGGCCCCCGCCTGCGGGCGCCGCCGTGGGTGCTGCATGGGGCGCTGCTGGACCCGCCGCCGCCGACGCCGTCGAGGTGCCAGTCAGCGCCGAGGAGGATGCTGCTGCGGCTGCCACGGCTGAGGCAGCCCGCAAGGTGAGGGCAGCTCAACGTGCTGAGAGGAAGGCTGCAGAACGTGCACGTCGCCCTGATGGCCAGCAGGGACTACGAGATGCGTTGGCTCGCCAGGCGTCAGCGCGGCCAGGTGCGTGCAGCCACCGAGGCCGCGGCGCCCTGCCGCCGTCGCCGCGCGGCCGTGCCGCCGTTGCCGCAGAGGCAGGAGAGGATGCTGTCGCAGGTGCAGCCAGCCGCCGCCAGAGGCACAGCCGCAGCCACAGCCCACGGCGCGAAGCGCCAGATGGCTTCATGCTGTGCGGCGGCCGCGCCGGCTCCACCGAGGGCAGCGAGGGAGCGACGTCGACGCTGGGGTGATGTGTCACGGCGGGCGGGCCACGGGGAGCGAGAGGGCTGCCACTGAGCCGTCTCAAGGCCCGCCTGCGACTGGCGCTGCGCCAGTCAGGCCGACTGACACGAGCGGCGGCCTTGTTGACCGAACCGAGGGTCGATCCGCGAGGGGCGGGGGCCATAGTGGGCGCTCCGAAAGGAACTCGCGAAGCCCCCGCCCCACAGCGGCGCTCGCCGAGGTAAGGTCGACGAGTACTGCCGCACCCTCACCTCGGATGGAGTCCGAGGCCCAGCAGCAGCCATGCTGCCCAATTCCAGATTGCACTGAGCTAGTCAGGCTACTGTGTCAGCCCTGGCTATCTTGCTCTCTCACTCCCGTCTTTCTTGGGCCAACTCAATTGCCCGAACATTGCCTCTTTCATCATTACCTTCATAGTAGTACCTGCCGTTTTTTTGAGACCCACGGAGCTTCTCCCCCCCCGACAGTGAGCAGGTTGTCAGGATGGAGGTACATACGGATGGGTCTGGTGGAACCAAACAACAGCACTTGGGTGGACCACCGTCTTGGGCATGGTGCATATTTTCGGTCACGACGACTGGCAGGTACATCTGTGAAGGGTACTTGTGTGGTGTCGATCCTGATCTCTCCACCTCTGTTGCGAGCCCGTCTGGAGCTGCAGAATTTCAAGCTGCACTGTGGCTGGTGCTATGGTTATTGCAAGCTCCTCCTCGTTTTCGGGCCCAACCCGTGGTGGTATACACAGATAACATGCTGGTGGTTTCC